AATCCAGCAAACGGATGTCTACCCATATCTATACGAAAGCTTTATTTTTTTGGAAGGAACAATTACCGATGCTACCAAAGTGAAACTATCTTATAACGGTTACTCTTCCCTCTTTGAACAAATACGATTTTAAATCAATGGGATAAAAGTAGATAGCACACGTGTTCTTGGAATCACTAGCTCGTTGAAAGGTTACTTATCCGGTACGCCAGATAACTACAATTGTTATGAAAATGCTGGCTTTAATTTTAAAAACGCAACGCAATCGGAAAATGACAAAGATAAATTTAGTGCTTGCATTCCATTGAAATATTGGTTAGGATTGTTTGAAGACTATAAAAGAATATTAGTGAATTCTAGATTGGAATTAATATTAACCCGAAGTCATAGTGATTTAAATGGTTTACAAGTTAAAAGTGGTGCAACTACCACTGAAGGTAAAGTCACCTTAAATAAAATAGTCTGGAAAGGTCCCACATATAACGGTTGACGATGAAGAAAGGTTAAAATTATTGAAACTTATAGAAAAAGAAAAAAGTCTATTTATCCCTTTTAGATCTTTTGAAACTTTTGAATATCCTGAACTCGGAACCACTAAAAAAGTTGTATGGAATTTGAAAACTGCTTCAAAATTAGAAAAACCACGATTTATCATAATTGGATTACAAAAAGGACGTAAAAATTTGCTAACAAAAGATTGTAGTATATTTGAAAAATTGTAATTTAACAAACGTTAAAGTATTTCTGAGCTCTATAGCTTATCCATACGATAATTTGAATTTAGATTTTACTAAAAATAATTTCACCTTATTATATAATATGAATACATCGTTTCAAGAATCGTACTATGAAAAAAGTAGTCGTAACCCGATATTGAGTCCTTCTACTTTTCTGACAAACGCTCCAATTATAGCTATCGATGCTTCGACACAGAACGATTCAGCCACAGCCTCAGCAGTGGATGTTCAATTCGAAATTGAAGCTTCAGATTCGCTTACAGGTGTAACTGCTTATTGTTTATTAATTCATGATTAATTGTAGAATATGTACCTTTTACTAGAGAAGTAAGAAAACTTGTATAAAAGATTATTTAGAATTAATATACAATTGTATTTGTAAATAAAATAATATTTAATAAATAATATATATTTTATCAAATTGTTGTGTTACACGGTGGAGCATGTAGAAATGCCCCCGCTTGAAATGAAGAAATCTCCCTGTAAAAAAGGTGCTCAGAACGCACAAATATATACTACTCAACATACCATTTTTTTAATGTAAATGCTTTATTCAATGTACATTGTAGTGGATTGAAATCTTTATGAAAAATACAGCATGGTAGTGATTGTCCAGTCAATGAACAAATCCGAGAACATTCAAAGAGTTCCAAGTCGTAGACGGCGGCGTGTGGCATAAAATCGATGATGATCCGTTGTTTCTGCAAACCTTTAACGTAAATTCTGTCGAATTTGATCGATTGGAATATTTTATGTATTTCTTCATACTCTACATCACCGTAATCCGGGGACAAACCGTGATGCAGCCGTTGCAGCCAACTGTTTACACTTCGACTTTTCGCATCTTGTTATAAAGTTGTATTTTTAAATATCCAGTGTTGATTGTACGATGTCTCAGTGTCTACTATAGACATTTCTTTAATTAACCACTTGTTGTTGACTCCGACAATGCACTGAACGTCCATGATAGCCGATGACATGTTTGTAGATTAATTAGTTTTTATAAAAATTTGCTGTACCGAACAGATTCACTTCTGAACTACCGCTGGAACTATTTTTTAATATCTCCCTTATTTATCCATGAATTATGAGAATCGTCAAACCCCACCCACTTGACATATATCTGATTCCCCTTCTTTCGTACAATTTTTTCAATTAAATAATCATTAGGATAATTTGTTTTAGATATTTCTTCGTTATAAAAACAACCAGCTATTGGATCATCATAAACTTGGACATTAACGTATCAAATTTTAAATTATAAAATTCTTTTCCTTTATCTACTTGCAGCAGTTTGGGGGACCCATCAGTAAGTATAGTAAACATGGCCTTGGTCACCTCACCAGTTTTTGTTTTCAATGGTAAAGCCCAGGCGAGCTTTGTAAAACAATCAAGCACACATAGGATATAATTATATAATCATGTTACAATGTTTCAACTCAAGGCCGACGGTAACACATTGAAACGCTCAATGACGTATAGTCATGATGTTGATTTCACTATTGAACATAATATATCGAAAATATTAGGTTTTGAAAATAAAGTTTACTCTGCCAAGACATTACACGAATCTGAACGGATAGTGAACATAATGAAAGTCAACTGTATAAAAATCGATTGCAATCTAATTTCTGGTTCATTCAGTAATGGTATACCGAGCCAGACTACACACGAGTTTTTCCCATCTTCGCCGCCTGGACATAAAATCATCGAAGCTCCGAAACATTTAGCTTTCTATCGGCTCAATTCTTCGTCTATAAGTAAATTAAATATAGTACTAAAAGATCAAGATAATAATTTAATAAATTTAAGAGGGGAGACAATCACAGTTTGTATACAAATTAAATATAAGATGGCTATTAAGTTCAATAGCTATATAAAAAGAAATGCGATTACGAGTGCCTACAGTTCTACTAACAAGGTTAATACGTCAAGACGTCCTCCGATTATAAAGAACCAAACAAAACAACCAAACAAAATCTATCGTTTCTGCGGTCTTTAAAAGTTCTATAATCATGGAAGATATGTATTTTGACGTAGCCGGAGGATATGATTATGATTGCAAAATAACCCAAATGCAGTACCACTCTTTCCTACCTTATTCTTCAACAGCTTTATCCAATAACGATGATATACTGTGCCCTGTGAGAGCTATCTTTATATTGAAGGTAAATTGAATATCCCGACAGATTTTGCAGCATATGCAAACGAAATAAATTTTACAAACTGGTTTAGCGTTTTTGCTTTCTGAAATCCGATATGAAATTAACCGTGTGGAAATATAAAAATTAAAATCTACTGGAATATCTTTGAGTCTTAAAGGTTTCTGCTCACACACTCCCAATGAATTGAACAATCTACAGAATGGTGCTTGGGATGTAGATATGGATGCCAGTGAAAATAAACATTTCATGTTGAATAACAAATTTGCCGGTTGTATCTAACTCAAACACTTGTTCGGATTTTGTGAAGATTATAAAAAAATACTCCTCAACTGCAACCAACAAATAATTTTAAATAGATCATCTACAGACTTTCATGCGTTGTACGTTTCGGGGGCCATTGAAAATGAAAGTAAAGAAAAGCTTAAAAAAGTAGCTATTGAACTGAGTAAAATTATTTGGAAAATGCCAGTTATCAGGGTGAGTGACAAAGAAAAAATTAAACTGTTAAAAGTATTAGACTCTCGTAAACCACTCACATGTGTGTTCAGAAATTGGGACTTGTGTGAATATCCAGTTCTCCCTCAAAATACTTCTCATTCATGGACTGTTAAATCGAGTAGTTTGCTCGAGAAACCTAGATTTGCATTAATTGGATTTCAAACAGATCGAAAAAATAATTTATTTAATCCATCGGGACGGTTCGATCACTGCTACCTGAAAAACCTGAAAGTACACTTGAACTCCGAAGTATATCCATATGAAGATTTCCGTGCAGATTTCACAAACAACGTTACAGCTATATTGTACAAAGCGTATGCCGAATTTCAAAAATCATACTACGAGAGAATATAGTGAGCCTCTACTTGCAAAAAACATTTTCCAGCAGTTTGTACCAATCATAGTCGTGGATTTATCAAGACAGAACGACAATGTAAAATCATCGACTGTAGATTTACGCATCGAGTTCGAAACAGACAAAGCTATTCCAGCAAAGACTGCAGCATATTGCCTCATCTTACCCGATCAAATTATAACTTATAGTCCATTTAATGGTGATGTAAAAAAATTGTAAAAACTAACTTGTAAAAAAAAAATACTTTTTTTTTTTTTTAAATATCATGTATCTTACACTACCAAATTATAACTAATAATCCATTTAATGGTGATGTAAGGAAATTGTAAATAGTTTGTGAAATAAAAATACTTTTTTTAAATATCACATTGTTTTTTTTACTATACATAAGTAATAATAATTATTAATAATATTACACAATTATTAAAAAAACTTAATTTTCTGCTGACTTTACATTTCTCTTTTGATATGTATGCCCTTGTCCTAGGTCTGTTGACTTCAGACTAAAATTAACTGGAACTTCATCGTTGGCGTCCTGGTCAACGTTACCTTCACCCTCTTCTTCACCTCGTGGCTTTCTGTAGTGCGGTTGGAATCTCATGGCAAATTCCATCAGACACATTGCGGGAAAGTTGTAGTCAGCATGCTCACGTGGCCGGTTCTCATATCTTTGAAATATGTTTGCAAAAAAGTCGCCCGTTGGTCGACCAGCTGTATCGAATTTCAGCATTCTGTACCGTTGTTCAGGCTTGCGAGTATTTAGAAAAATGCACTGCCTAGAACTTTCCGTCAAGCTCAAGTGACACAGTCTGAAGGCGCATTCATATTTTTAACACGCATGCATTTTTTGAATAATTTTCGAGAGATGTCAGATTCTTCTCGTAGAATTTCTCTGATGGCCTGAGCAACGCTAACATTCAGTTCGGTCGGCTCTGCTTTCGATATGTATTTTGCCACGTAGGCGATCGATTCATTTGAGCCACAGGGTTGTACGTCCATGTTGCCTCTCCACGTTTTCAATAGCTCTTGGCTGTAATTGTTTACCCATTGATCTTCCTTGCTACGTTTCAAAAGACATATTCTCCCGCCGTTTCGTATAAATTCATCCGACGAGTGAGAAACAATGTGGCTTTCGGTGCACGTCTGTCTTGGAAAGTTGAATCGACATCTCGTTGTGGTATGATTCTTTTGGCTTCAACAATACAGTCGTAAGCTGTATCACTGCAGAAGCACACAGTGGAAACGGGGTTTTTACGGCGACGTCGTGGGGACAATCCTTTGCTATACGGGGATCTGCAGCTTGAACTGTACATTCCTATTCTGCTGTACCACTGCAGAATCCGTGTAGGGGGATGCCGGGAGTTCCTCTGCAACTCTGATTTTTTTTTTCGGCGAGTAATGGTTAGGTTAACCTGCCTTGACCCAGGGAAACCCTTCGTACCTTTACTTCCTCGGAGATGCCTACTTGGAGGTCCATGTCCCAAAATGACAACGGATTATTGTATTGTCATCCAAGACCAAGGTCTATACCAATTTTCAGAATTTTTCATCTTCAAAAAGTGCCTCAAATCGAGCGCGCAAGATTTGATTACAGACGGACGTGAAAGCGAACTTAAGAAAAGTGTTAAAAAAAAATTGTTATGCTTAGTTTAAATTAATAGTATATATAAAAATATATTTGAATTACCTCTGGCATGACTGATGCAGCTAACCAACCCCTGGCCAATTGACTGGTTGCATGAAGTGTCAATTGTGCTACAAAGCATGGCTTCCACACCGGTAAACTGGCACTGATTGATACAGGGTCGATATGGAGCAAATAGTATTCCAAATTACTTAATTCGGTATCCTTTGGAAACGGCATTGATGTTCCAAGAAATTTACAAATTTCAAATGCCTCGAGCAATACTTTAGGCCGTGTTTCAGTGACTTTTATGTTGATAGTTTCTTGTATATCATCCTTTACATTAATTTAATCGCATAGCATTTTCTTCGCTCAACTGAATACACTGAACATCAAGCAGACATCTAATTGATAAGAGGTTGGATTCATTACATTGAGCTATTGTAACTTCCTTGTATTCTTCAGAGTATAAATACTTAGGCTCCAATAATGTTTTCTTATTGAGAAGAGGTATTAATGAATTAAAAAACTCGGTAGTCATTTTCACGCGTTGAGAATTTACATAAACATGAACAACACAATTTAATAATGAAACTGTATCGATTCCTATATTTATAAAAACATTTTCATCTAAGAAAAAAGTCGAACAGTCAATAAGTTGACTGGAAATTATGGTGGATTAAACGCAAAAATTGTCACTACTTGAAGAGCGGGTTAAGACTTGAAGAGCGGGTTGCGACTGACTTGTCCTATGCCCATGTCAAGCATTTTATGCCGTGCCACCGAGGGCTCGTTAAGAGTGGGAGTGAATTCCCACTCTGCAATAAGTTACATGGTGGGGATATGTATAAGGAAATAACAAAGGAAATTGTAAATAGTTTGTGAAATAATAATACTTTTTTTAAATATCACGTTGTTTTTTTTATTATACATAAGTAATAAAATATCATATTACAATAGAATATTACATTAATGGTTCGCGTTTTTAAATAATTGACAAAAATATGAAAATTACATAATAAAATGTCATATTACAATAAAATATTACATTATTAAGGAAAACTTAATTTGCGGGCTGCTTTTGCGGTTTCACGTGATACAAATGCCCTCGTCCTCGGTCTGTTTACTTTAGACTAAAAAAAATTTGTTTCTTTAGTATAAAATAATATGTAAAAATAAAATCGTATTACCTCAGTTTCGGCAGAAGAAGATTACCATCCCATTGCCAATTGTTTGACTGCTTTAATTTTCAAATCTGCTATTAAACAAATACCAGTGAACTTGAGTTGTTTTTTCAATTCTTGGACATCGATACGGGATAAATAATCTTCAACATTGCTTATTTTTGTATATTTGGGTAACGGCATTTCCTTTCCAAGATACCTTGAAATATCACAGGCCTGACGTAATGTACTAGGTCGTGTGTATGTATTTTTTATTTGAATAACTTCTTCCACGGCATCATTTAATTGCAAGATCCTTGAAACATTCTCTATAGTTAATCGTACATGTTGATCCTGTTGCAAACACTTTATCGAGAGAACGTTGTCACCGTTGTATTTATCTATTGAGGCCAATTTAAACTCCTCCAACATTAAATGAGATGGTAGTGAAAAATGTATGTAGTTAAGAGCTATATTAATTAGAGAATTATAGAATTCAACACTCATTTTAACACACTGCGAGTTATTTGAGATGCATATAATGCACTTTAACAAAAAATCAGGATCTAATCCTATATTTATAAAAAATATTGCTATCAACAAAGAATGTAGAACAATCGATCAGATTATTAGCCATTTTTGTTAGATACGCTCACAACTGTCTCGAAATAAGTTAGTAATCGGGTACGCACACGACTCGTTTGACGGAACACTCACGACTGTCTTGAAAAAAGTCTGTGCCACCCTTTTAAACAGTGCTACCCGATCGCTCGTTTAGAGTGGGGATTATCCCTACTCTATACCCGGGGGTGGGAGTAAAAGTGTATTTAGATTATAGATGAGTAATACCGCCCATGATGGTGGGGATATGTACAAGGAAATAACACATGTTATGATATATAGAATATTTATTAATAAAATAATTTTGTAATACACTGATAAGATGGTTTTCCTGACTTGCAGTCGAATAGAGATGGTGGGGATCATGGGCGTCAGTTAAAATATGTCGGACCGTCGTTCTCATCAACAGCCTATAAAAATTAATGATTATTCATCATATCATTTGTATATTTATGTATATTACCTTTGGTTTAGTTTTCCGAAGTTTAGCAGGATTCATAGAATGTGTTTTTTCCTACGACCGTCTCGCCAGCACCACCCATTCATAAATTTTAATTTTTTTTTTACAGTTAATTAGCATGAATTTGCACGACCATCCCCAAAATTTGCATGACAAAATTTACACCGGTATGTCAAAAAATGATTTGCGGTGCTGGAGAGACGTCTCGCCAGCACCACCCAACATTAAAAATTAATAATAATAACAAACTTGATATGCTAAAATGTAGCACGTGATTAGCATGAATTTGCACGACAGACCCCAAAATTGGCTCGCGTCTGGTTCGCGAGAAAAACCCGTTCGAATATTTTGCACGCCTCGCCAGCACCGCGTAAGTCTAAAATTTGTTAAGTCGAAATTCAGTACACGATTAGCATATTATGAATTATCGGGTGAATGTAAGTTCCTACACGAGACCTACCAGGTAAATAAAATAAGAATGTCAGCTTCTACACGATATTAAAAGTTACATAATATATAAGTTCCTACACCGTAAAAAGCAGGTAGGTACGTATGTTAGTTCCTATACACGGTGGAAAAATTATATATTTAAATTCTTACACAGTTAAAACTATGTTCTCATACTGATTATTATGTCATAAGAAAAAAAAAAATCACAAATGATACACTATACACATTCATAATTAAATAAACTTATGTTGGTTATAATTTATAAATTATAATAAAAATCGTATAACGCATTTTCGCAAATAAATATTAAATGATGATTATAAAATCTAACATACACAACTTTTTTTTATCGTGTAGAAACCAAGAACAAACACATCTCATTTTTATTGACTTAAAAATAAATATCATAAAATAAAATACTAATATTGAAAATTAATAATAGATTAAGTTTGAAAAACAACAGAAATCTTTAATTTATTTTGTATAATGGTATAATATTACATAAATTATCCAACCATTTTTTTTAAAAATATATTTATTTTTTATATTTTTAACTATTAAATGTTTGTGAAAATGTTATTAAAAATTGTATGACATTTTTATATCACTACTGATTTTACCTATATCAAGGTGATGTCCGCAATAACAAAGTTTAATACAATTTTAAACAAAAATGTTTATCTTTTTTACAATATACATTATACGTAATTTATTACAAAGTTAATTATCATATTATGGTATCGAGGAGTTCCTGCTTGATTGCAAGACGTACAAGTCCGGATTAAGGGGGCCCGGGCCTCGGTAATTGGAATTTATTTAGGGGCCTCAGATTTGTCTATTACTTCTTTCGTTATAGGATGTACATAGCATAAATCACCTAAAAAAAATCGATGATAAAATGATAAATCTGCTGACATTATTTTTAACTACCTATGTCAAAATATACCACTAAAGTGTATAATGTGTATATTACCTACCCGCATATTGCTACACGTTTTATCAGTTGTTATCGTTTGCCGTCGACCGTCACACATCAATCGAACGGGAAAAATGTATTTTTGTACACCAGTACACAACAACACAACACGTTATTATGTTAACAACAAATTTGTTGTCTTCTGTTATCGTTATTCGTTTTGTCTTTTGTTTAATGAATATAATATTGTTTAATGTGTTAATTTTTGGACCTTCATTCTTTCTTCATATTTTAAAAATGAAAAGACATTTTGTAAGTGGTTGCTCTAAAAGAAAAAGAAAAGAAAAACAACAACTTGAAGTAAATAAGTACAGAGGGTTAATGAGCAATTATGTTTTAAATTCAGGTAAATAATTTTATTTTTGTATATTGGTGTGAAAAGTCATAAGGTAATTTAATAATAATACTATGAAAATATAAATTTCATGTTTCATGT